TGTTTTGCACAAAACCGATCAGAATCCAGTGTCGATTTTCTTTAGTCACCAGATTTTTTCCACCAATCCGCCATCTGTTGGCCAGCCGACTCCATTTTACTGCCTATTTACCTGATGAATTTCTTCCAAGGACAGCACGCCGACGACCGCCTTCCTCCCAAGTGCAGATGGGTTTTTTTCTTAGGATTTCGAAATTTTCAACAAAAAATCAATTCCCATGAACAAACCGCTGTTGCCATTTTTGATACTTCTGTGGTGATATTACTGAGGACGAGATTTCTTTATGGCCTGACCCAAATTGCAGCCTTTCAACACCTTCATTTTGACTATTATACAGCATGTAGTCGTAGAATTTACGAGTTCCAATTGAATTTCCCCCTATTCCACTCAGTTGTTGCATAGTTCAGGGCTGACTCGCGCTTCGAATTCAATAGCCGGCCGCTATGAGAGGAGAAATTGACCTCGTTTCCAAGTCGCCCTCTTTCTCTCCCTCCATCCTCACCAGCTCCGCTCTCTCACACTGAGATCGTCTTGTCCCGTCCAATCGTTGTGTAGTGATGGCTTTAATGTTCTGATTGGGTGAAGAACCCGGAATTCTGATCGCTATCGGTTTCTGTCCACTCTGATGAGCTTTCCATCGTCTATTGGCTCGAAGTATAAATAGCCCTGGGATTCAAAGGCGAAGTTGATGTCGTGACAAGTGGCGGAGCTTACCATGCGCTCGGTCGTGAGGTCAAATCCAAGCTCGAATACCGCCTCAGTCGGCAGAGCTCAGCGTTCCTTCTTCATCAGTTACTTGGTATCAGACTGCCTGGGAGGATAAAAACACAGACGTGTACATCAGCTGACCTCAGGTTACTGTATTGGCCTGATTGGCAGGCGTGGCAGGTCTGTCATTTCAGGCCGAAATTGGGCGTTCACGCCGGAAGAAATCAGTTGTATTGTAAGGCATGAACATTAGCAAATTTTGAGTTTTTGCAAAGACGCCAAGCGCTTCCACGTGCTCGCCGCTGGCCGAGTGTTTAATGCCGTATGAGGCAGTCTTCTAAGCTCCGCCCACACACCATTGCTTCCGCCCACAAAATCGCTATGTCGCGCTACTGGAGAGGAAGCTTTATTTTCCGTCCTTGTTCGAAGTTTCCTTCCATTTTCTGGCGTTTCACTTCCGTCTCCCTCACCGCTTACAAGCGTCATAATACTTCAATTTGGTCCCGGACTTTGCCTGAAATTTTGCGCTACGATTCCAGATAAGAGACCAAGGCATGGCGCACTCTAGTGAGGGAGTTTAATCTATCCTATTTTTATATCCTTAATCTCGAAAGAAAGATCGAAAAGAGATCGTGTTGAGACGGAAGCAGTCCTCCCCTCTTATCATAGACCGTTAACCCTGATCTGGCACTAAGGCTCCAGTCCATCCGCATGTCCCACGCCAATAGTGGCGAATATCTGAGAATTCCGAACGGAAAGATAGGGAGGGAGAGAAGACACCGCTTATTCCGAAGGCTACAAAGCAAGTTTTCATCAGGAGGACCCGTGAACCTTGTATGGTCGTAAATCGCGTTCAAAATATGTGGCTATGATCCCAAATGATAGTCATGCGTGTACGTAATCCCAAAAGGGATTACTAAGCGTTGCGCTGAACGCATTTCTTATTTTTTTCTCAATATTTATTAGCCTGAATTAACCTTGAAATGTCCCTGGTCGGTGTATGCGGTGCGATGCGGTGCTGCTGTTCGTAGCGTTCACGAAGAATTTATAGACCATTATTGGCCTCCTAGGGATGTTCATTACATAATGGCCGAGCTAAGGCCAAACCAAACGTCAACCATCACCAACCACCACACCACCACCTAATTCATTTAACGGAACCGACCGACCGACGGCCACCTACCGCTATTCAATCACAATTTTCCACGCACCGCTGCATTCATCTATACCTCAACAAGCATTCAGACAGGTCGCTGAAGTATCGATTGACGTGGACCGTCATTGATCGTGGGTTGAGTAATTTTTAAGGAATTTTCTCAGACCTCTCAAGCGACTTAGTGAGCGAGGCGCTATCGTAAGATACGGGGGCAATCCATGGGATGAGGCAGGAATTTCGATGTGAATGGAAACTGCTCACGCTCTCCCAAATCCCTAATCCCACTTAATATTTAGTCCTGTTGACGACAAAAAGAGATGTTTGACGCGGTTTCAAATGCCTTGCAACCAATGCCCCTGAATCTTGCAACAGGGCCCTGAGCGAATTTTATGCTTTTGTCTTGAATGTTTTTTGGCGCTATCGCAAGATATGGGGGCATTGTGGTGGCGATGCGTTCGAATGCGTAAAACTTGCCCTTTTTGGTAGCGGATTTGAGCCGCAGGCGGGGAAAGAGAGACTCCAGAATGAGCGAACATTTTCATTTCACCGGGAGTTCCTCTCCCTCCAGGCTTCCCTAGAACATGCTCTTGTGATAGCGACAAATTTCCTCTTCGGAATGCGCGTTATTTTTTAGCTCTGATCACAATGAAAACCTATCTTTGTAACTTTATTGATCGCATAAAATCCATTTCAAACAGTTATATTTCTTTTTTTTTCCTTGAGCGTTCTGACTCATACCTTAGGTTAGGTATGTACCCTTTACGGTGAACGGATAACCGTCGTGGATTGAGTTGGTTGATCTTTTTTCCTACACCAGCTTCAGACGTGGTTTCTTGGCGAGCTTAAAGGCATATTCCGCACTTGTTTTCTAGAAGAATGTTCTCCGTCAAGTAGGTAGCTGAGTCAGCAATCACAGAAGTAGTGCCTCTTCTGCTGTTCTAAGTTAAGGATGTTGCTCGGCATCCACGCACACCTCGTCTCTGTGCACATTACAGATGCCTCAGTGTCTGCGTCTCACTCATTCCCTATACTCTCTCGCCTCTTTGTCTGCTCTCTACCTTGGCGCTATTCGAAGAAAGCGACATGGTTTTCGATTTGTTTTACTCTTGCTCACTGCCATTTTTTGACGTAGTCTATGGTCCGAAAGTCATACCAAAACTCCCGAGCCATCGGCAAAACGCTTCGACCAGGCGGTAATCAGGATTGCACACTCAAAGTGAGAGGCACGGGTTCGAATCCTGCCTGAGAAGTGTTTGTCTATGTGGTTCATGTTGCAAAGGAGCAGTTTTAGGCGTATCGATCGATGCAGATTCGGATCAACATTGTGCGAATTGCTTGGAATTGGAGTTTATTCGGAAAACTTTCTCCACAAAAAAAACTTTCTATAAATCATTTAGGATCATCTAGGTGTTCAGATAACGATGATCATGAACAGCTGCGCACATAAAATTCGCCCCGCTGGGACTATCAGAACTCAGCGAGTTGGAAACGGGATCGAGGGCTGACTACTCGAGAAAAACTTTTCGAATCTGTTAAGACTGTTACGTTTGTGTAATCAACCAACAGGGGGTTTGCCTGGCTGGCCACGATCGTAACTCAGCGTTTATTTGCATTTTTAATTATTAATAAAAGGTCTGAGTGCGGTTTATGAGCCACATGTTTGACGGGGCGCAACCAACAGCAGCCTTCTGCAGTTCCCAGAACGTACTATGTAGACGTTGCTTCTGAAAGGACCTTATGACCACCTTGAGTGACTTTATAATCATTCGTCTGTTCTTCAAAGTTCCTCCTCTTCCTCTTCTCTCATGTCTCGGTCATGACACCACTCTGACCTGGTCGCTATGCTCCACACCTCGTTCGGATTCTCAAACCTACCCCCTCCCACCTCTCTAGGATTGATCTTCTCACCATTTTGTTGACTGATCGCTCTAATAACGTTTACTATCTGATGACTCGTTTTCTAGCGATGTTGATACACAAATTTTGTAATATCGCGTCGGGAGAGGGGGGGGCTATCGCAAGATACGGGGGCACCTCCCACGACTAAGCCTAGGGTGGGACTGAAATTTTGGTGAAACTCAAACTTTTCCCGCAGTCTGGAGGCTTGCCTTCCCCGACTAAGCCTCATCCTCTTTTTACAAAAAGGATATGTTTCACGCTGTTATTGCCCCCGTATCTTGCGATAGCGCCCAACTCTGCTTTATAGATTTCATCCAGAAGCCAGCATATACGCTTCGGTCCTTTTTACGGCCCCATAACCAACCAATGCTGCAAAAATCGACCTTTTGTCCGGTTATTTCGTCCATTTCGGTCAGTCAGTATGACCTTAATTTGTCTTTTCTGAATGCACCACGTAACCGATCCAAGTTCGCCATAATTTTACGTCCATTTCAATTTACCCAATGGATATGGCCATATTTGGACGGGGTTAAGTAGTCGGAGTTGAGTAGCGCCGACCAAATATGGCCATATCCATTGGGTGAATTGAAATGGAGAAGAGCTGCCATCATCAAATCATGGGGATACTCCTCCGCCTTACTTTTGGCTTCTGGCCAACAGATTCAAATATTCAAGGTC